GGGGGAGTACCCTCTCTTCCCTCCTTTTCTCACCCCGGCCTCCTCTTGTGTGCTGTCCAGCTGCCTGTGACCCTAGACCCGCTGACCCTTACTCCTGACCCCTGGACTCGTTCCCACGCCACGCCTTTTTGTGTCCAGCGCGCCATGGCAACACCTTGCTCACTGCTGCTGCCACGGTAACAGATGGACACAGGCCTGGAAATAACTTCATTCAGAGCCTACTGGAGAGGAGGGGGGGGTGGGGGGGGGACCGCGGACAATTTGCCCCAAACCCCCCCCCCCCCCCCCCACCCCCCCCCAATTTTTGTATTGTATTAAAACCTTATGAATTATTGACTCTACTTGTCAAAATACAAATAAGTCAAAGTAATTATTGTATTATATTAAATGGACATGGATCATTTTGGGAATATAGGTATACATTTTGGCGGGGATACAGAAGCCAGGTGTTTTGTAATTATTGTATTATATTAAAACCTTATGAATTAATACAAATAAGTGAAAGTAATAAATACGTTAAAGTAATTCTATCTCAAACCTACCATCCCAAACAAAATAATTCTATCTCAAACCTACCATCCCAAACTTACCACAGCCACTTAGGGACTTTATTTTGAAAATCCATTTGCCTAAACTTACCACAGCACTTCCGGCGTATATCTACCATAGCCTAAATCTACCTCCTCCGGGTCTGCAGCTGGATATTATTGGATAAAGTGAATCGCGACCTGCCTCAACAAAATTCTATCAGCAAATCTTTTGCAAAAATGGTTCTGAAACAGAAAGGGTAAGTATTTGAGTCCCATTGTTTGCTCTTGCGATGCTTTTGGCTGGAAGAAGTGTCCATTGGTCCGTGAGGTTATACTGTCGGCAAACCTCCAGAGGTGCCCCTGACAAAACAAAAATATACATATTGCAATATTTTGGAAGATATCATGCAATACATGAAGTACTTTAGTTTTACATATGCGATTCTGTATTTATATTCATGAATATATACGGTGGTGTGGGGGGGGGGGGCCTGTTTGCAAACTCAGAGACAATCAACAAACTTGAATAGCACAGCCCAGGAGCTTCACAAGGTGGCCGTCATAAAATGAATTGCAGCAGTTTTGCTGCTAATCAGTAACTCACCTCCGAAACCTCCAAACGAGCCTCGGGAGGACAGGTTAAAGAGAAAGATTTGTATTTGGCAAAAGGGGAGAGCGGGGGTGGGAGGGGGGGGGGCTCTTTGGCAGGATGCGCTAGTGTGTTAGCATGTCTGCCTTGCAGTTCAGAGGTTCAGGGTTGGAATCTCGACTTGGGCTTTCCTTGGCGGGGTTCGCGTATTCTCGCCGCGCTCGTGAACCGAAACACCGTATGCTTGTGGCTATTCTCATTTGTCCAGGTCAGGGTTGGGCAATTGCAGTCCCGGAGGGCCGCCATCTTGCATGTTTGCCCACGCTTGCTCCAGATCATTTCTTTCTCGGGGCATTAAATCGATCGCAACCGCATCGCTCTGTTTGTCTTCGAAGACACCATTTCCGGTGGTCGCAATCACTAGTATGGTTTCAAACGCATGCTGGCACCGTCTCACTGGATGAGTGTCGAGTATGCTTAAAGCCTGGCTGCAAGTCCACCGGCAAGCGCCCGGTTGAAGGTTCCGGCGGAGTGAGCTTCGCATCCTCCCCTAGCACTTATACTCTTCTGCATTTCTGTAACCTCGCAAGTGAGTTGGGTGAGGAGCAGGTGGGGTGGGGGTAGGGGGGGGCAATGGGTTCGAGGAGAGAGGTCCTCAGCTGCCATGGGGCAAAACTACACAAGCCAAACCATTTCATCACATTTGTGCATTTCACATCCTCCATCTCCGCATGCATCTGCATCCTACTACTTTCCCGACACCACCTCCTCCACCCGAACCCCAATGCTACCCGCCACTCCTCCCCGCCCCTCCTCTATGCCTCTCACCCACTTCATTGTGCCAAAGGAGATTTTCTCCATTGAGGCCCAGTCTCTTAGGTAACCCCAGCGCTGCATGAAATGAGGAGAGGGAGCGAGCGAGCGAGGCAGAGACGGGCGAGGACTGAAAGGGAGAGTGAGAAAGAGAGCTGGGAAGGGCGGGGAAAACCGGGAGAAGGGCCACCGAATTGTAAAGGCAGAGGTGGGGGTGGGCGTTGGGCAGGTGGGGGGTAGGGGGAGCGGGGGTACGGACACAGAGGGTTGAAGAAGGAGAGGAAGAAGGACGTGGGACCAGAGGTGGGAGAGGCGTTGAGGGTGAAAGATGGAGGAGCGGGACCGGCGTGGTCGGCCTCGCAAGAGGAGGAGTGAGCGGGCCAGCGGTGAAGAGAGGAGAGCGTCTCCCAAGAGGGCAAAGACACCAAAGGGGAGCGCCACTTCAACACACGCTTTTGCAGGTAATTTCTCGCCCCGCGTTTCACCTGGCTGAGCTTTTAGTGCGGCTGATTTCCACGTGTGATGAGGGGGGGGGGGGTTGGATTTGAGGTTTGGCCTCTGGAGAGGACGCGGCAGATGAGCTCAGGCCTTCGGGCCTTCCGCGTCAGCAAACTTGACGGCAAAGTTTGCATCATGGGTTCGCCTGTTCCACGCTTCGTCGCGCTAGCGGCGTTGAGTGTCTTTGGAATTGAGAGTAAATGGCTCCAAGAAATCGGAGGCGTCTCAGTGAGCTTTTGGGGGCTCGGGGAGGGCTCGGGGAGGGCTCTGGCATCCTTTGTGGCCATGCTGCTCTGCACCTCAATGGTGGGCACAGCACATGGGGCTCCCATGAATAGGCCCGGCCTCACCGCCAAAGACCGCGGCGCTGGGGGGAAAGCGAATGGAGAAAACGCCTCACGCAGCCGAGCAGAGAAAGAGAAAATGTGAGCATATCGGATCAGGGGTCCGGCAGAGCTTTCCCTTTTTTTTTTTTTTTTTACATTCGAGCCCCCACCCCCCCAACTTCACCTGCCCCACACTGGCTTCACTTGCGCTGCCGCTGACGGGCTCATCTCGATGTGCTGAGTTATCACGGCAGGCTTTTGTCTTCTTTTGACGTGCACTCGGTCTTTTGCAGCAGCTCACGCGGGCGGCCCGACACGGCCCGGCCCGGCCCTCCCCGCCCTGGTTGGTGACCCCTCTCTTCATCATGGTGTCACCCACACAGAGAATGAGTTGGGGTTCTTGCTTTCTGTCTTTTCTTCTCACCTTCTCCCACTGCTTCCCCCCCCACCACCCCTGCACACCC